TCCAGGGCACTGTGTGTCTGAGTGGATCGCAACGCGATTTTGCGAATCCCACTCCACCACAGTGGTAAACTACCAGATTATCAACTAGATTAATGAGGTAGTGGTAGTCTACGTGACTGATAAGCTGCTCTATGGTACTGATGTGGTGGTAGCCTATCATATCACCTTTGACGGCGTTGGCATGCAGCCCATTGTCGAGTAGCTCTACCTTAAAGGACGTAGCAGTAGTCCGCTTGATTGATAAAATTATATGTCAACTAGCTCTACCTGAATGTCACGGTAGCTTACCAGATTGCTAAGTGCATCAACTTTAATCGTATTGTGGTAGACAACCAAATTGCTTAGCATCTCTACTTGTGGATGTTGTAGTAATATACCAGACTTGTAGGTAGTTCTACAATAATGACGTAGTAGTGGTCTACCACAGCGTAAGTGACTCTACCAGTTGAAAGATCTTAGATTGGTAGGTAACTGTACCATGCCAGTCTACCGAAATTATTAGCCGCAGCTAAGTAGTCCTAACAGATTGAAGACTACTAGTCCATCATAGTGGCTCAAGAAAAACTACATCAAGCTTGTCAAAGTCTCATTTTCATGATGTAGCTGGTTTGGTATATTTAGCTTAAGAGTGTCAGTTACGCATGTGTTGTATTCTATAATTTATTTCCTCAAGAACGCCCAATACTTCCACTGCTTGAATATCTCTCCCCATCGGCAGACAACTATCTTCGCGTCTACGCTTGAGTTGCACGCGAATCTATGTGCTTTATACTGCCAATACTTCGTAAATATCCGTAGGACTAACGCAAACCGATATACCTTAGCCTACGACGATGGAAAGGATATATCTTCTGGCTGAGCATGGACGGGGTTCGATTTTTTTCAGGGTTATTTCGATAGCGCAAGAGCAAGTCAAAAACTCATTAAAGACTATGCCCTAAATGAAGGGAAACCTATCAAACAAGAATTTCTTCTGAGTCTCGGAAATAGAGGGCATGTACTTCGTCGACAGAGTGTCCGGGTTTGTGACGCTGGTGATGTGCCATGGAAAAGATATGGATAAGACAAAACTTTCTGGTATACCTACAAAAAAATGGTATATACAAAGTTTTGATCTTCACCATGCGATTCATTATCGGATATTTTGTCAGCCAACTTAAACGACTATTGGTGTAATATCTGAGTGGCTCTCTCCACGCGTACACTCGTACAATTCGCTGGAAGCAGGCTGCAGCTTAAGCATTGGAGCCAAAGCACACTCTGAGTACTTTGATTGGCTGGTTGCACGCGGGTGTCACTCGAAGTGAGCGATCGCCCGGCTAGGCTCTGTCTAGTTTGTTCATTGACCTGATAACCTTCGATCTAATGCATCATTATCTGCTTTACCTGCATCTACACAGTCCGGCTTCAGTCCTGACAATTGCCAGATATTACATTTGGTAGCACTTGGGCTTTTTGGGGGAGGAGAATTTATTTTCAAGTTTCCATTTGAATTTTCGCAAAGCGTCGCAATTGTGAAATTCAAATTCCTCATTTTCGCCATGGATCGACCTGACCATTTCGTGTCTGCTACAGCCCTTGCTGAGAGCTTCTAAATGGCCATGAGCCAGCTGGCAGGGCACACCATTCAGCAAAACCTGCAATTTAGTCAGCAGCGATCGAGCAGCTCAACCAGCGCCAACCAAGGTTGAAGGAACGAGTATACCCCATTTTCTAGGATGTCCGACGAGAGTGTCGATGAGTTTATCTTCCGGGCCAAGATGTTCATGCAGGGCAAGAATCTAAACTACGACGACCAACGGAATGACGCGCAGGTCGTGGCAATGTTAGCCTCAAGTCTGCGCACTGGTGCTGCATCGTCGTATCACACGTGTAGGCATTGAGTAGTGCCCGATCGGCAACATGGCGGACTTCCACGAGGCACTGGCGCGTGAATCTGTTCTACCAGATTTCCAGTACCGCCTTCGTGCGGCCTTGTGAAAGTGCAAACAGACCAAAGGCATCGATGATTACGTCGCTGTGTTCCGTCGTCTGATTGCACAAGTGGGGGAAATGAGACAGCTGGATCAAATCGATCACTTTTGCAAGCCTGACACGCGCAACGAGATCACATATCTACGCTACACCACGCTGGGTGATGCTATTTCGCATGTTCAAGCATATGAAAGAGCGCACTTTGCCCAGCGTACCCACCACGACTCACAGCGAGGCTTTGAGCATGTTGGGACTGACGACGCGCGGGGAGATTCACTGCCAGAACCTATGGACATTAGTGCGATCAATACCCGCAACATGTCGACGGAAGAATGTCGCCGTCGCAACTTCTGTTCCTACTGCAAGTTTCCGAAGCACCACATTCGCAAGTGCCCCAAGAAACCCGGCCAGGGAAACGCAGGAGCTCAGCAGAGGTAAGTGGCGTATCTGCTGAGCTTGGTGAGCCAAGTGAATCTTCACTATGCATTTTTGTTGAAACTACCCAGACCTTACCGGCTACCGAGTTAAATACTGCAAATTTGCGGTATACAGTGATTTTTCACCGATCGCAATTAGTGGAATGGACAGCGGTACTTCACCTGCGCCTCTTCTCTTTCACGATGTCACAATAACGGCAAGACGCTCCATATGCTTGTGAATTCGGGGACAACCCACTGTCTTGTGAAACAAGGCGTCTTCAGCAAGCCGCCCGGTGCGAGCACCAACACAGTGACAGTACGTGGGTTTGATGGTGCAGTACAGTCCCGGAGTGTGAGATCATACAGGTGAGCTGTGAGTGCTGTGCTACTGTAGCGACGTCTTTCCTCGAGTGGCCTCTCGAACAAGCACACGACGGCATACTCGGACAGTCATGGTTTCGTAATACCAATCCTGTCATCGACTGGGTCAACGAAAAAAAAAAAAACTTCTGATACTGTGTCTGAGTCAACACTGGCGGTTACGGATGACAGTGTGACAGTAACCGAACATGGAGCTGATTCTGGCCCTGACCTATGCGAATGCAAGGTGATCAGCATGAGCGAGGTTCTAGCTGGGTTGTGCAAAGGAAACTATGCTGAAGTTTATCGTATCGGCTGTTCTCTCAAAAGAATTACCGGAAATTATTCAGCGCGTATTGGTTGAATTCGCCGAGACTATGCCGGAAGAACTACCCGATAGGCTTCCTCCTGCCCGCACAATTGAGCACGACACGGTGGTGCAGCCTGATGCACAGCCAGTTTCCGAGCACCGTTTCGCCATTCAGACGTAGAGTGCTCCGCA